TTTTCCCACCATCCAGAACACTGCCAGTAGCTACTTAGTGAATATCTGTTGAATGACTAATGTGTTTTGAACTGGTCCCTTCCTTCCAGGAGATTCCCATATGCTCTAAGGCAGCATCTTTGGAAAAGCAAATAAGCAAAACCTTGAGACTTTAACTTACCACTAATGGAGCTCTAATCTGATTCCCACACGTACAGGGCAGTGGGAGGACCATGGCCTGTGGACTGAGATTTGGGTTTGAATCCCAGCTTTGCTAACCATGGGCTTGGTGATTTTGAGCAAGTTGCTTACGGCTAAACTTTGTCTTCTCCCTAGGAAAATGGGAAATCAGTGTCTGCCAGGGTTACTGTGAACATCAAATTCAAATAAATATGTGAAAGAGCCTAGCACGGGCTAGCAGTGACCTTGGCTTTGTATCATTCACCCTTTCCAGAGCACCTACCTCCTTTGATTGCCATTGCCTCCTGTAGTTTGGCCCAAGTCTAACCTCCTCTCTTAGACCTTTGTTCACCTAGCCTACCTCCCCTTCCTCCCCCGACAAAGACATATTCTGCCTAACACCAAGTATGCTCAGCAAACATTTGTTAAGCCAGCTCTTCAAATCCAGATGCCTCCAGGAACCAGGCAGGGGTGAAGAGAGCAGGCTGGGTGGGGTTTTATTTATATGAAACCTCCCCCTTAAAATATTTTTATAATTGCCATTAAAGTAAAAAATTTTTTTAACTTTTCATTTTGAAATCATTTCAGACTTGCAAAAAAAATTGGCAGACATAATACAAACACTTTCCATGTGCCCTTTACCCAGGTTTCCTCAAATATTACATAACTAGACACCATTATCAAAACCAGGCAAACGTCACTCTACAGTATCTAATTCACGTCCCATCAATTGTCCCACTGTCCTTTTTCTGATGCGGGACGTCCCGCGTGAGGGGGTGGTCATGTTCTCTTGCCTCCTCTGAACTCTAATAGTTCCTTCGCCTTTACTTGCCTTCGTGGCCTTGACACTTCTGACAAGCGCTGGCCAGTCCCTTTGTAGCATGGCCCTTGGTTTGGTGTTTTCTCGTGATTCATTTGCGGCTGTGCGTTTGGAGGGATGGTGTGGACGCACGTGACATGTCTCCTACTGGTGACACTCACTTGGTCGCTTGGTTACGATGATGTCTGCCAGGTTTCTCCACGGTGAAGTGACACTTCCCTTTTGTAATTCCCAAGGATTTTGTGGGGCGGCACTTGGCAGGCGTGTAAATGCCCCCCCCTTTCCTCATCAGACTTCTGCCGTGTCCGTTCCTTTGTATCTATAGATTCTGGCTCCCTCTCCTACCCGCGGGTTATAGTCTCTTACAGGGATCATTGACTTTCGTGTCCACACTGTGCGTCCTCTGGCCAGCGGGAGCCCCTTTTAGCTGGCTTTGTCCTTTTGATTTGCCCCCAACGTTTTTGAACACTTACTTGCTTTCTGACATAAGATGATGCTCCAGGTTCACCTGGTCTTTTCCCCGGAATTGGCCATTGCTCCGAAAAGCTGATTTCTTTGAGTAAAGAGTGACAGTTAGAAGCCAGGGTTTCAGTACCAGGTGCGTCTGTTCCTTTCCGGCTGTCACTGTTCCTGGACCCTCTCATGGAGTGAGCTGGGAAGTATATCTGCATGTGATGTGTGTACATCCACATGGGTATTTCTGCATTGCGTATGTTGAAAATCATGAATTCACAGTGAGTCCTCCGTCTCCACGCTAACACCACAGGGTTTATTCCGAGTTTCCCTCTGTATGTACCTCCCCCGACAGTCAGGCACCTGGCCACCGTCGTCCTCACTGTATTTACTTATTTAATCAGTCCCC